CCGAAGGCCCTGTAGTCAACCCCAGATGTCACCACAGGAAATCGTGGACCAGAAAGGGCTCAAGGATGCTGCGCTTTGGCACCCTGTAGTGCTCCACGGGCACATATCCCTTCCAGTCCTCTAGGAACAGGCGTCCACGTCCCCTACACCAAACATCCAGGATATAACGCACAGTATCAGCAGAGCTGATCCCTCGCTGCATTAGCCGGCCAACTGAAGCAGCTTACATCCATGGTGGCTCAGCCTGCTGCCCCTCCTGCACCAGTACCAGCTCCTGATCCCATGCTACCCATTGGGGCCCCGGAACCTCGAGTGGGAACCCGAGTGCTACGGCGGAGACCCAGAGACCTGTGGCCCCTTCTTGACTAACTGCTCCCTGCTGTTCTCCCTCCAGCCCCGTACCTTCGCTTCGGAGGAGGCGAAGGTGGCCTTCGCTATCAACCACCTGACGGGCCGGGCTCATCTGTGGGGCACTGCTGAATGAGAGAGACAGTCACCTGCCTGCACATCCTTCCATTCCTTTGCCGAGGAGCTTCGCAAGGTCTTCGGTTTGGGGGTCTCCAGCTTCGAGGCTGCTCAGGGGCTACTGAGCCTGACGCAAGGGAGCAGGACGGTTGCAGACTACTCCATCGAATTCCACACCAAAGCCAGCCGGAGCAGATGGAACCCTGCAGCCCAGGTGGACGCCTTTCTCCACAATCTTGCTGACTACCTCAAAGAGGAGCTGGTCTCATATGAGGTTCCCTCCACACTCGACGGAATCATTGAACTAACCATCAGAATTGACCTCCGCATCCAGGCCCGTAGGCGGGAGAGACGTCAGGGGGCTCTCCACTGCCAGACATCAGTCTGGTCCAGAGCGGGTCCCACCCGATCATCCACCTCGTCTATTCCGCAGATGGAGGAGCCTGTACCGGTGCAGCTGGACCGCACCCCTCTCACCCCAGAAGAACGGGAGTGTCGACGATGCCTGAACCTGTGCCCGTACTGTGGAAAGGAGAGTCACTTTGTGTCAGCCTGTACGGGAAAAGCTGAGGCTCACCCGTAGCCAGGGAGGTACGGGTGAGCTTGACTACACTTCCTCCCTACAACTACAGACTGCATCTCCAAGCCGGGCTCCTCCTTCCTTAGGGTCCCCTCACGTTAGCTGCCCTGGTGGACTCTGCTGCTGATGCCAGCATCATGAGCGAGGAATTGGCCCAGCAGTAGGGGCTCAGTCAGGTTCCTCTGCCTCGTCCGATCCTCGCCCGGGTTCTTGACGACCACCGACTGGGTACCATTACCCACTAGACCACCCCAGTTCCCATGCTCCTGTCCAGCAATCATCCACATCCTGAACTCTCCTGGCCTGCTGCTAATCCTGGGCTATCCTTGGCTTCTTCGACATAACCCCCACATTCACTGGGAGACCGGCTCCATCCGTGAGTGGGGAACATCCTGCCACTCATCTCTTCCGCCTTCAAACTTCTTCAGGGCTCCACCGTCTTCACCAAGCTCGATCTCCTTAACGCCTTTCATCTGGTCCGTATCAGAATTCCGTATCAGAATTCAACACCCCTGCAGGGTACTACGAGTACCGGGTAATGCCTTTCGGTCTCACTAACGCTCTTGTTGTCTTCCAGGGACTGATGAATGATGTGCTCTGGGACATGTTCAACTGCTTTGTCTTCATTTACCTGGACAATATCCTTATCTTCTCTGAGACCAGAAAGGAGCAAGTTCATCATGTCCGGTCTGTGCTCCAACGCCTCCTGGAGAACTCTCTGTTTGTAAAGGCAGAGAAATGCTAATTTTATGCCTCCTCTTTTTCGTTCCTGGGGTACATCGTGGTTACTGGAAGCATCCGGATGGACCCAGTAAAGGTCTCTTCTGTCACCTCATGACCTGTTCCTGACTCCCGCAAACAACTGCAACTCTTCCTGGGGTTTGCCAATTTCTATCGCCACCTCATACGCAACTACAGTTCAGTAGCCACCTCTTACTGCCCTCACCAGTTCCAAGGTACCCTTCCAGTGGTCCCCTGCTGCTAACAAGGCCTTCCAGACCCTGAAAACCAGACTCACCTCTGCGCCCATCCTCCAGATACCTGACCCTGATTGCCAGTTTGTGGTGGAGGTGGAAGCTTTGGATGTAGGTGTAGGAGCTGTCCTGTCCCAAAAGTCCGCCTCTGACCAGAAGCTTCACCCCTGCGCTTTCTTCTCTCGGCGCCTGTCTTCTGCTGAGAGGAACTATGACATCGGGAACAGGGAGCTGTTGGCATTGATGCTGGCACTGGAGGAGTGGCGGTATTGGTTGGAGGGCGCCAAGGAACCCTTCTTAGTATGGACTGACCACAAGAACCTTGAGTACATCCACACTGCCAAGAGGCTGAACTCCCGCCAGGCCCGCTGATCCCTCTTCTTCACCCATTTCAATTTCACTCTTTCCTACCACCCAGGGTCCCGCAATGTCAAGCCTGATGCCCTGTCCTGGCAGTTCCTGAAGGGGGAAGATTCTGCTGGGGGGCCTGCTTCCATCCTTCCCTCCGTTTCGTAGCCGTCCTGTCCTGGGACATTGAGGGAGAGTGAGGGCCGCCACTGAGGGTCAACCTGGTCCCAGCAGCTGTCCCCCCAACTGTCTGTACCTCCCTGAAGCCCTGAGGTCATAAGTTCTGCCATGGGTCCACGCTTCCAAGTTCACCTGCCATCTGGATACCCAGCGAACCCGTGACGTCCTGCTCCAACGCTGCTGGTGGCCCACCCTGGAGGAAGACACCCGCAACTTTGTTAAGGCGTGCCCCATCTGCACCCAGCACAAGGCTTTGCATCAGGCTCCTGCTGGACTCCTCCAACCCCTACCTGTTCCACATCAACCTTGGTCCCACGTCTCCTTAGATTTCGTCACAGGACTTTCACCCTCTGACGGTAACACAGTCATCCTCACAGTGGTTGACTGCTTCAGTAAAATGGCTCACTTCGTCCCTTTGCCTAAGCTGCCATCAGCCAAGGAGACTGCGCAACTGGTCCTGCTGCACGTCTTCCATCTACATGGCCTCCCCTTGGATGTGGTGTGCGACCGAGGTCCTCAGTTCTCCTTGCATTTCTGGAAGGAGTTCTGTAGCCTGATGGGAGCCACTGCCAGTCTCTCTTCTGGATTCCACCCCCAGTCCATTGGGCAGACGGAGCAGATGAACCTGGAGATGGAGACTGCCCTCTGCTGCATGGTGTCCCAGAACCCATCCTCTTGGTCCAAGCAGCTTCAGTGGGTGGATTTCACCCACAATTTCCTCACCAGCTCCACCACGGGCCTCTCTCCATTCCACTGCATCTTTGGATATCAACCTCCACTTTTCCTAGCCTTGGAGAGAGAGGTCTCCTGCTCGTCAGATCTAGCCCTCGTCCGCCGCTGTCGCCAAACCTGGGCCCAGGCACGCTCTGCCCTCCAGTGTGCCGTTGGGCTCTACGCCGCCTCGGTCAACCGGCGGCGTTCCCCTGCCCCAGTCTACCAGCTTGGCCAGATGGTGTGGCTCTCCACCTAAGATCTGCTTCTCCAGGTAGAGACTAAGAAGCTGGCACACAGGTTCGTCAGCCCTTTCCCCATCCAGAGGGTCATCAGTCTGACGGCAGTGAGACTCAAGCTTCCTCGCTCCATGCGGGTTCACCCCACCCTCCATGTGTCCAATGTGAAGCCGGTCCATGAGAGTCCTCTGTCGCCGGCTGTTCCACCTCCTCCTCGACTTATTGATGGGGGTCCAGCCTACTCCATGCAGCACCTGGTCCGGTCCCGTCGTCGTGGGAGGGGAGTGCAGAACTTGGTGGACTGGGAGGACTACGGTCCTGAGGAGAGGTCTTGGGTTCCTGCTCGCCACATCCTCGACCCGAATCTCATCACCGACTTCCATTGTCGCCATCCTGACCAGCCCTTCGGCACCACCGTGCCTTCAAGGAACCCCCGCCCGCCTGCCCGCACCTCTTCCCAACCTGATCTCCCTGTGGGGTATGCTCCTGCTGAGGAGACATCGTCCGACTTGGACTCTGACCGCTCAGGCTCCTCTGACAATCTTGTGGAGGAGCTTTCAGTCTATATGGACTCTGACCACTCGGGGCCCCCTGACAATCCAGCTGAGGAGATGGACTGGTTCAGCTCTGAAGAATCCTGTTGTTTCTGCTCCTGCTTACTGACCCCGGCTGCTTCAGGCGCATCATTGCCCTTGGCTGTTCAGCGCAATTGGGCCCCTGGCTGCTTCAGGCGCATCAATGGTCTCGGCTGCCTAATGCATGACTGGCGTCGGCTGTCCAGCGCATTTGGCCCCCCGTTGCTTCAAGTTCATCACTGGCCTTAGCTATCCAGCGCATTTGGGCCCCTGGCTCCTTCAGGCCCCGGTTGCCCAGAGCATCACTGGCCTTAGCTGTCCTGCGCATTTGGGCCCCCGGCTGCTTTAGCGCATCATTGGCCCTGGCTGCCCAGTGGATCTTTTGCTCCGGCGTCCAGCCTGATGGGTCATTCCTTCGAGCCTGCCCTGCTATAGCTGCATGGCAGGAGCCGGGCCTGGGGGGGGGTGTACTGTGATACCTCCCTCCTGTTCTCCCCTGTTCACTCCGGCTACCTGCCTATTCCAATTATGCCATTATCTTCCCGCTCATTGTTAATTGTGTTCACCTGATTATTGTTCAGTTAATTAGCATTCCCCTTCTTAATTTTAACCTCTCTTTCAGCCTTCACAGGCAGGCAGCCTTGGATTGTAACACTTTTTAGTTTATAGCACATTATTTTGGGGTCTTTGACTTAAGTTACCCCATGTAGTTTGTATTTTCCATTATTTTGTTTTCTGTACATTGTTTTATTAAATAATCACACATCCTCTGCATTTGGGTCCTCCATCTTCTTTGCTCACCTGGTGCCCCCACTCATTCCCAGGGCACTTGTTGTTCATTACAGTTGGCAAGACAGGAGTTCCTAGAATCAGTGGTTCACTCCAAAAAGCTTGCTTGTTGGGTACAGCAAGGTAATAATGACAGGGCGACTCGGTGGTGCAGTGGGTAGCACTGCTGCCTAACAGCAAGAAGGTTATGCGTTAGAATCCAACCTGGGACCTTTCTGTGTTTGCGTGAGGGTTTCTCCCATGTACTTCAGTTTCCTTCCACAGTCCAAAGACGTGCTAATTGGGACTCTAAATTGCCCGTGTATTTGAATGATGTGTGCACCCCGCGATGGACTGACAAGTTGTCCACGGTGTCTTCCTGTCTTTTGCCCATAGTCAGTTAAAATAGGTTTCAGCTCCCCCGTGACCCTAGTGAGGAAGACGCAGTATAGATAATGGATGGATGAATATTATTACTAGTAGTGGAAACAATAGCAAAAGTCATAAAAGTGGTAATAGTTTTACAAAAAATAAGCTACTGCCAAATCTTTTTGTCTGTGTTGTGGCAAGATCATGTTCTTTTTTTTTTGTGAAAAATGACACTGACAGCACACAGATGAGCGCAGTTAATGGGAGCCTGAAGATCTGCTCTGTATTCTTGACGAGGTGTTCAGAGACAGAATGAAGGATGTCTTTCTGGGGAAAGGGGCAAAATTGAAGCAAGGGAAATTACTCTGCTGTGCTCTTGATTCATTGTGAAAGCTTCTGAGGCAGGAACCCCGGGTAGAGATGAAAATGAAAAGTGCACTTCAATAGTAAGTGCACTATTTCAGCATGCATCTTTATGAATGAGTACAACAAAACGATCATATAGACAGAGCAGAATTTCAAGACTAAACTAGAAATGTGAAGCTTCAGTCTCCTGTAATGCAAAGAAGTCTGACAGAGACACTGCTGTTGCGCCTACCACTGCTCTTAAATTGTACTACGCAGGAAGGCATAAATGGAAAATTGTCCCTAAGTGTTGCAAATTGTTACTTGTCTTAAAGGCACATATAATGTGGCTGCCAAATTTGTTTCTGGCATTTCATTGACATTTGAGTATGATGGCTAAAAGCCGAGTGTTTCACTTCCAGCCAATGCAAATTTGGCAGCTGGAAAACTACTCTGTAGCAGTGTTGTTGGCCACCTTAGATTTTGGGTTGTGCAGCAACATAATGCTGGACTCCTCCATAGTCAATAAAAATTGAGACTACTGGACTTCTCTTAGAACAAAAGACTCTTGGTGAAACCTGATCGAGTTTTAGCTTTGCTTATCTCCCAGAGATACTGTATATTGCTGAAAATCATGTCTTGAGATCTCCCACTCTCATATGCTTAGAACAGCAATTTTTCATAAATCCCAACTCGCCCACCGTTTATGATGCAGACATCTTATCTAACCCTTCATATCCTCACCAAATACAGGGCATTTCGTGCAAAGCCATAGATTTTATAGCAGTGCATGCATGCTGTTTTATTTATTTTTTCTAGGTCAAGGATGCCAGTGCATTCAGGAGTTGGGGTCCAGCCACAGCTTGTCCATGGATCTATCACGTCACTAATAATAGTGTATTGTGAATTATCAATGCAAAACTGGGAGCCTCACAGATGTCCTATCACAACTCTGTGTGTGTGTGTGTGTGTGTGCGTGTGTGCGTGCGTGCGTGCGTGTATGTGTGTGTGTGTGTGTGTGTGTGTGTGTGTTTGTGTGTGTGTATTGGGGCAGGTGTGTCAAGAGTTAATCCCTGCATCATTTGGCTCATGTATTATAACATCAACTGTTTTAATTTTTCCCCTTCAATGAACCCAGAGTTCAGTAATATCTCATGAGCCATTTTAATTGATAAATTACATGCTGGTTGCCATGTCCTTAACGTTTCCTTAATTGTTTCCCTGCAGTCCAGCCGTCCATATGAATTTCCAGTGCTGTCTTCCTTAATTGATTAATTATTGTCTCATTTCTGTCCCGTCCCTCCTTGCGTCTTTGCTTGTTCCCACACTCCCCATTTCCCAATTGTTGATTGGTGTGGTGTGCATGTTTTTTTTTTTTTTTTTTTGTTGTCTTCCCTCAGCTGCATTGCCCCAATTTCAACATTGTGATTTAACCATTTGCGACCACCGTCCCAAGGGTGGGCCACTAGGCATAATTACGTTTTTATACCGTAAAATATTTTGCTACCTTGTATAACTAAATATTGTTCGAAAGTTTGAGGACTGAGAATTCTGACTGTGTAAGCTGTTTCATAATGCAATCATGATAGCAAAAATAGCATTCAAAATCGTGTCATAACAACCCTCAGCCTGACAATGGAGTCCCATTGGTACAATTGTATAGCATTGGTATGATTTGTGGTAACGGTCCACAGATAAAGACTTGTTATAGATTTTGTTCAGCTAAACAAGCAGGCTTGGACAAATGTCACCAAATTGATTTTGCCATTGAGATAGTAGCTTTGCATTTGTGAATTTCACCATAATTAGCATTTCTACTCATGATGCAGCACTGTAGATTGTATTGTAGCCCTTTAGGAACAAAATAAGTGCATCCACTGGCCATTCTATGCTGATCTAACAGAACTGTAAGTTTTTAGCCTATCAGCCCTCACTCCCATCTATGTAACAGGAAAATCAAATTTTTTTTCATCTACACAGACAGCCAATGGTCTGAAACATCCAAAAAATGGATGTGAATGGTAGCCAAGAGATCAATTTTTATGAGGAGGAATTGTTTCAATGGTTTCAGACTGGTAGGCATTTTGTCAAAGAAGTAAAGGAGTTTTTGAAGTGATTTTATTATGCTTATACGAAAAAAACACCAGTGCAGGGAATTGGAAGGGAACACTGGCTACATATGGGTAAAACGACCTCAAATAAGGAAGTTCTCAAACTATTATAAAAGCTAGCGCTACCGTGGCTGTGAATGCAGGGCAATTTGGACTCTCCAAAATTGTTTATTGGAAAACACGTAAACAAAACCAAGAAAAAAAAATTTAATAAATACTCACTTTTGTTACAGGATCATTATATTTGAACCTGCAGTTGTTTAGGCATCTGGCTCCGGCTGTATTATTTTTCTAGGCTGATGGGGCTTAATCACAGCGCTAAGGGGGCAGAAAAAAGCATAAAATCTTTTATTCTGTCAGACAAAAACTTATATTTACAGTGCTCATACTTAATTTGGGTAATATTCTCAGCAATTCTGACTATTTGAGAGCAATCTACTGAATGTTGCCTTTCAAACAAGACCATGATTACGCCTGTAGTCAGAGCAGTAAGCATTTTAGTCTGGGAGGAAATTTGCTTTAAAAAGGATTGCACTTAAAAGCATTACGCCAGTCCCTAGCCTAGTTCTTTGTCTTCTTTCTTTTTTGGTCATTAATGCAGAAGGTATTGTCTCCTTGTGTTCAGCGGCTTCAGTGGTGATTTCTCCCAATCTCCTAGCCTTGGAGTTTGAGAGCAGGCACAGCCTTCGTGTCCAGCGACCAACGGATTGCCTTCTCACTACAGACCTTAGACCACCCATTGATAACGACTTGACCACTCCTCCAGAACCCTGTTTATTGATTGCCAGACCTGGTTTGAAATCAACTATTCTCTTGCCTTGTCCCTTTTGTGTTCTTATATTTACGTTTGTGCCAACTGAGGCTTTAAGAAATACGTTATACATTATGGTGCCAAGTGGCTTTCAGTGGATATGTGCGTGATTCCCTCATTGAAGTTTATAACACTGGCCCATATAACCATTAATAATTTTCTAAAATATTTGCTTTTTACACCATTGCTAGAAGACAAATAAACCATAATTGAGGAACATCAACCCATTCTGGCATGCTATAGAAGACTATGGAACTTATTCCATTTGTTTTATTTGTGCAATTGTAAGTACAAGAAAGGCATTTCCAAATATGGGATTCATTGGCAATACATTGCGTGTACAAGGATTAATTTTACTCCACCATCATCATAATGAACCATTCAAAACTGATTCAAAGTGTACTCTCCGTGTCTAACATAATGTAAACATTACTAACTAGGGAAGAGAGCACCTTGACAGTTTAACGTGCTGGAATTTGGTTCTTCTCGAACATGCTCATGTAGCGAACTGCAAGGAAATACATTTTAATCAACCTAAGGCAAAGCATCTTAATTGGGCACCCAATTAAAATAAATCTAGGACCACCCCTGATTAGATGAGTGCATGCATAACACTGTTTAAAAAGTACTTCTTAAACTGAAATGTGCGGCTGTTTCTTGACATTACAGCCCAGATTATAAGCACAATATAATTGCAAAACCATGCTGCCTGACAAAAAAAAAAAAAAAAAAAAAAAAAAAACAGTTATATGCTCTAATACAAAGTCATCAGCTTTGATCACAGCGCACTGTCTATGTGGCGTTGTTTTGACAATGCTATGTAATAGCCACCAGACTTGCATTCATTTTTAAATGAGATCTTGTACTGATGACCGGAGCAGGGCTGTCAATAAGTTTTGAAGTAGGCGTCTCAAATTTGAAAGTAGGTGGTGGGCTACTTTTCAGGCGCTGAAGGCGCAAGCCTCTTAGGGGTCAGGGGGCTTGCCCCTCAAGAAATTTTTTTAAAATTTAGATGCTTGGAAATGCTACTTTCAGGGTTTTCCTGTCAATATTTGGGCCAAAAGAACAATCAATACTAACACTATCTATATATACCATGTTTTTCTTTACAACCATTCTTAAACTGAGAATCCCAACCATCTCAATCAGAAAATCTTTCCTATTTATAATTGCTAAAACATAAGGTGGAGTCAGGTAAATTGGGCCACATTTTGGAAACATTTTGAAAGAGCCATAAAAAATATATGGAAAATCACCACCCATATTAGCAACCTCATATTCATAAAAACAGTCAAAATGCATCAAGTTCCAGTATAGCAACAATTTAAATTTATTAAGAGTGATTGGCTATTAAGATCCAAAGAGACTCCTATTTTACACTGAACAAAATGAAAGCATTGGTTGATCTTACCAAGCATTTTAATCTCGCATTAAGAATTAAAGGTGCAGTCAGAGATGTGGGAGAAAACAAGTAGAGAGGTTGTTGATATTTGAAGTGTAAAGGAATAAAGACCCACCCCTCCCTTCATACTCCGCCCCGGGGTCCACCCCCGATAGTTCATGGGCGCGGATTGTCATGTAAACGGCAGTAGAAACT